TGTCACATCCCTTAGAGACTAATTACTCAGAGCTCAGCTCTAGGCTGTCTCCATCTGCTCTGAATGTCTCAGCAGTGACCTGTCATAGGCCTTAGGAAAGTGACTCCACAGAGTGCCCCCAGACCCTCACACCGCCCATCTGGACCTGCACTCCACTCTGAAGCAGGCTCACAACCCTCCCTGCCCCACCGTGTCTTCATTCAGCCTATGTTCCCAACACACAGAGACAGGGAAAAAGTGCAGCTGAGATGGAAGGCACAGGATGTCTCCATCTCAAAATGAGTGATTTTAAAGCCTTTCTCCTTAAAAATGTTCTTCAAATTTTGGAAGACTTAAATGTAGCCCCTAGGTCAGTGATGGCGAACCTATGACACGCGTGTCAGAGGTGACACGCGAACTCATTTTTTTGGTTGATTTTTCTTTGTTAAATGGCATTTAAATATATAAAATGAATATCAAAAATATAAATCTTTGTTTTACTATGGTTGCAAATATCAAAAAATTTCTATATGTGACACGGCACCAAAGTTAGGGTTTTTCAAAATGCTGACACGCCGAGCTCAAAAGGTTCGCCATCACTGCCCTAGGTCCTGCTAAGAGGAATGTAGAAATTACTGAACGCCCATCCAGTGGCATCTGGACGGAAAGCTTCGTATAGAACAAACAGAGCTGCCTACCTCCCCATGTGGAAGGGCTATGATTATAAGGAAAGACCCCCTCCCTTGAGCCCACTTGAAGAAACAAACCAGTTTGATGGGGACAGAGAATAAAACTGGAAGGGAACCATGGGGTAGCAGGAGTGAGTCCTGCTGCTTGGGGAACAGGGAACAAAGCCCTCTGGTCTGGGGTTGGATGGAGACGTGCCATTGACCCTCCAAATCCCCTCCTAAGAAATCACTGAGAATGTGTCCAAAGACCAGCCCTCACAGATGTTCATCACAGCATGAGACAAACTGCACATGCAGTGGGAGCTGCTGAATAAGTTGAGGTGCACACGTGCTGATCCTGGGCAGGTGCACAACAGACTGCATAGTGAGAACACGGATCCTAAATAATATGTAAAATATGGTGTTTGTTTTTTGTTAATCCTCCCTGAGGATATTCTTTCCATTAATTTTTAAAGAGAGTGAGAGAGAAACAATGTAAGAGAGATATATCTGTTGGTTGCCTCCTGCACGTACACCCCAACAAGGGCCTGCAACCCAGGTATGTGCCTCTGACCAGATTCAAACCTGCAAACTTTCAGTGCACAGGCTGCTCTATCCAATGAACCACACTGGCCAGGGCAGTATGGTATTTTAAAATAGAAATATAAACATAGAGCACACCACACAGAAAATGTTTTCATGGATGTAAACACATTTTCAAAGGCTGGATGAGGGTTTATGCTCTTGCTTTTGCTTATCTATGTAACATTGAAAAGCGTAAACTAGCTTGGCTGGTAGCTCAGTGATCAGAGCATCGACTCACAAACTGAAGGGTCCCAGGTTCAAGGGGCACATATTTGAGTTGCAGGTTTGATCTCCAGCTCTGGTCAGGATGTGTGTAGGAGGCAACCAATCAATGTGTCTCTCTCATATTGATGTTTCTCTCTCTTTCTCTCTCCCTCCCTTCCTTCTACTCTCTCTCTAAAAAATAAATAAATAAGTAAACAGAAAAAAATACCCTCAGGTGAGGATTAACAAAAAAACAAACAAACAAAAAATTCAATTCAATTTTGGCATGTGTCATGCATTTGTATGGGAGAGCTCCCAAGGAACTCAGGCTGCAAGTGGAAGCCTCTGCCCCACCGCCACAAGCACTTAGGCTCTGCCCAGAAGTAAGTGACGCACTGAAAATGAGGAGCAACTGTTAAATGGTCCCTGAGCCATATGCCCACCCACCTGATCGGTCCTACTCAGCACTCACCAAATGGTACGTGCACACCCCCCACTTTGAAACCCCTTTTTGTGTGGACAAACTGATCTCTGTCCAGAAGGAAGACCTGCTCTTCCAGCTGACCCCAAACCCTCAACTAAACAGGACACCCACTCCACCCCCGCCTCCAGCTCTCAGCACACTGCGCCCAGGGGACCTGTTCTCTTCAGCAGCAGAGGCGCTAACCTCCCAGGGCCATGAATGGCCACATCACATCTCGGCAACACAAAACAAGGGTCATGCATATAGGAGGTCAGGGACAGAAAGGTTGTTTCTTGCCCAGCTGGTGTGGCTCAGTGGTTGAGCATATGAACTAGGTGGTCACGGTTTGATTCCCTTCCCGGTCAAGGCACAAGCCTGGGTTGCAGGCTTGATCCCCAGTAGGGGATGTGCATGAGGCAGCTGATGAATGATTCTCTCTCATCACTGATGTTTCTCTCTCTCTCTCTCTCTCTCTCTATCTCCCCCTTTCCCTTCCTCTCTGAAATTAAAAAAAAAAATAGCTTTTAAGAAAGGTTATTGCTCATGGTAAGAACTACAAGACAGTCCTGTTGCAGAACAGATGACAGCAGTCAGGGGTTGGTGGCTTTTGTAACTTGGGCCCTGAGGGACCCGTAAGGTCTCTCCAGTCTTAACCAAGGGTGAGAAAGTGACTGGAAATATAAAACTTGACTGGGAAAGATAGTCCTGCAACTCAATGTACCATCAGGGGCCACACAGAGCAGCAAAACCAGGTGGTCTACTCTGGATGCTGCCTTCGCGTCTGCGCTGCCACCATCAGGCAGGATGGGAATGGGACAGAGCAGAACAAGCCACTGCAGTAAGAACACAGGAGGGCAGAGTTGAGCTCAGACCCTACCACTCACCACTCAGGCCCGAAATGTGCGACTGGCTCCTTCAGCTCAGAATTGACAAGAACCTCCAGAATTAAAGCAAGAGCAACAACAAATACACAACCAACTGGACGGGATGCTTTGGAGAGAACGAAAGTGACTCAGTGTTTGCTTCCCTGAAACACTGTATATTTTGACAAATGCCCAAGCTTGTTAGGTGTCCTCAATTAGCTGAACAGAAACAACTGTCTTCATACGGTTCCACGTTCACACCCAGAGTGCGCAGACCAGCTGAGCCCTCCCAGGTTTGACCTCAGTGCCTTCCTGATGTTTCCCAATTGCCCTTCATTATCACAACCCAAGAACTACCCCCTTATCTTTTCACTTTCTTTTTTAGTTCAAAAGTAGTATGTGTTTATTGTAGACCATTAGGAGATATTCAAAAGCATAAGGAAGACAACAGAACTCAGCCTCCCCGTCATTCGGGGTAACAGCACCTTTAGAACACAGCTTTCTCATCTCCTTGTAAGTGAAGTGTAAAATTACATATGCAGTCACTTCTTAAAAAAAAGAAAGGGACCCATGGGATGCATTTATCTAAAGGGCACTGGGTTCTGCAGGCAGTTCTAGCTATTCAACCTCACCTCTGGTGCTGACAAACGTCCCCAAGCTACGATCCACACCTTGATTATTTAGGATTAGCTGCTCCAGGTGGAACTGCTTACAGGCCCCCAACACCACACACACTGGGGGACCATCAAGCTAAGGCTCCAGGTGCTATCACCCACACCTCTGCAGATGCTCCTAGGACAAGTGCTGCCAAGCCCAGCCTGGGGGGTCCTCGGCACCCCCGTTGAGGAGAGAAGAAGGCCACATCCAGTATCTCCCTGCCTCCCACCATGTCTAAAAGGCCCCTATTGAGGAAGGCTCTGGAGGAAGGCACAGGTCGGGGGGTCTCTAACAACACGTAAGCAGATTCAGCCAGACCCCTGCCACAGACTTCTCTCCCTCTCAGCCTCCTCAGGTCTCATGCAGCAGCAAGATCAGCGGGAGTGCAGAGTGCCAAGGTAGGTAGCTGCAGTCTTCATCAACTCTGACAAAGCTAAAAGGACATCCTATGGGGCTCCCCATGAGTCCAAGCCAGAGTGAGGGGGTGACAGGAAGCCCCTGCTTCTGCTGAGTGCAGACCCACCTGGAGTTCATGCCCCACACCGTGAGAGGCCCCAAAACACACCCAAGTGCCTCCTCTCCCAGGAATGCTGGTCCCAGTGGAGGACCCTGCCTGGTGTGTAGAGCAGGTCTAAACTTGGGGGTCTCCTTGGCAATTCCAGAAGTCTGGCGGGGGGGTCATGGCCTGCTCTGAATTACAGACAGGACTGATCAGACTCCTCACATTGACACAGCAGCGACAGCCTATAATTGGCCGGTTCTTGCAACTACTTCTCCCCTCTCCTTGGAGCATGCTCAGGGAGACCAGAGGATAAGTAAGCCCCCACATCCCGCCCCCCAGAATGCCTCTGTACAGCTCCCAGGGTGCCCTTGCACCTCTGTACACTGACCCAAACTTAGGCATACTTCCATGGCAGCCCCTGGATAGCCCCCATCTCCTGCTCTTTGCTAATACCCTGTCCCTATGAGCAGCCCTTCCCACAGTGGCTCCAAAGCTCAGTCCCCACAGTCCTGATTAGGAAAACAGTCCAGCCCGCCCTGGGAGCCCCTAGCCCTGTGATGGACCTGGCTGCCCCAGCAGCCTCCTCGCTCCATACGTGGAGGTCCTGGGTGACAGGGAAGTCACTTTTGGTTCCTAGTGAACCAGGTGACTAAGTGGAGGCTCCACAGTGCAGGGTCCCAACACTACCATAGGAGCCGGTAGAAACTCAGAGTGGGGGTGGGGACCTGGTGCCCTCTGACAGCTGAGGCCCCTCGCTCAGAGGGCAGCCTAGTGGAAGCCTGATGTCCCAACATAAAAACTTGTTAAGAGTCACACACATGGGGTCTGACAGCACAGAAATATGCCTTGTCCCTCTGGAGAGCAACACCGGCAGTATTGCTGGTCTTACCTGTGCGCCTCTGGAGTAGGACCTGAAGATGGTGCAGAACCTGCCTTGGCCCGACGTGTCCCTGAAACACAGGGGGAGTCAGTGGGATGTGTCCTGTGGGACCTGGCATGTGCAGTGTGATCCCTACAAGGTGCTCTCCCTCCCCCTCCACAGCTTATACTGGCCAACCTCTGGGGCCGGAGTGCTCTAGGGCAGCAGTCGCCAACCTTTCAGACCTCACAGACCACCAGTGGTCCGCGGACCACCGGTTGGCGACCGCTGCTCCAAAGGTTTCCTTAAACCAGCGGTCGCCAGCCTTTCGGACCTCACGGACCACCAGAGGTCTGCAGACCACCAGTTCGCGACCACTGCCTCTAGGAGACCACCCTGCCAGGCTGGAGAATCCCAAACCTATGGGAATTCACATCTCAACTTCAAGACTCTGGAAAATGTATAGCCTGGTAAAAGGGAGCAAAGGGGGGCTGTGGCTGCTGTGGAAATGAGTATGGGTAAAGGGAGCTGGCCTCTATCAGAACAAACGGCCCTGGACCTTTTGGTTTTTACATCACAGAGCAGAATCCACTCCATGTTTACACAGGATCTCTTTAACAGCTATTCCACTTACAATGTTAACAGGACTCCTTCCTTCCTGTTCCTTTAAGGATTCTTGACTTATTCATTTAGCTTCTGAGGCTCCAGCTATAACTCTGAAGTGCTGTCCCCCACCCCCAGGCACCGCAATCCCACACAGCCCGACTCACCAGAGCTCCAGCTTGACCCGCCGGCCATCCAGCAGGATGGTAGTCGTCTTGTAGTCGATCCCTGCAAGGAAGCAAAAAGGGCTGCTGAAGGCGACGCCTGGAGAGGAGCCTGCCAGGATCCGCCTTGCCAGCACTCAGTCTCTACAGGCTAGTGGAGTCGTGGAGGAACAGACTACCCCCAGCTGGAGCCTTCTTGTGGCTCCAGCCCAGGGACCCAGACTGCTGGGCACTACAGCACCAGTCAAAGGGAGGATGGCACAGGAGTAGAGTTCAGCAGGCCAGCAGGAGCTCATCTCCATCTGACCTACTTTATGTGGATCTCAAGCAGAGAAATTTCTGAGTTCTTGGATTCACCATAGCCCCTAGGTACTGACAATTGGAGTGTGCCTAGAATATTATTAAAGGTAAAGTAATTGCTAAAATGCCATTTCTCTGGAGAGCTCTCTGCAGAACCTATGCATGCCATATCTTTAGTTTTTAATATTTTTATATTTTTATGGGAAAAAGTCAGTCCAAGAGAAGTTGGAAGGATCAGGGACAGTGCTGGACATGTTACCTTACATGTAAGATCTTCAACTGGTTTCTGGACCATCTGGAAACTTACTAAAGGCTCAGTGTTTCCTCCCTCCTTCTTAAGCCTTAAAAAGGCTGTTTCATGACTTTTTATAACACTTACTCCAACAGGGCTTGGAAGTGGGCATTTTAACATAAGTGTCTCTCACACATTGTGTGAGCGTGCACGTGCAAGCTAACCTCAGAGCATCTGCACCCAGCACCTTCCTGGTGCCTCAGGCATTGGTGCCTCTTCCCCTACTCTATTTCTGCCTGGCCAACTCCTACCTGCAAGTGAAAACCTGGCTACCATGCATCAAATGACACTCAACAGAAGGAAAACGCAACCCACAAAATGGGAGAAAATATTTGAAATCACATATCTGAAAGGGATTGCTATCTAGGATATATAAAGAAATCTTACAACTCAACAACATAAAAACAAATTAAAAATTGGGCAAAAGACTTAGACATTTATCCAAAGAAGATATACAAATGACCACAAACATGAAAAAATGCTCAATACCACTAATCATCAGAAAAATGCAAATTAAACCACAGTGAGATCACCTTATACTCATTAGATGGCTATTACCAAGAAAAACAGAAAGGTGAGGATGTGGAGAAATCAGAATCCTTGTACACTGCTTGTGGGAATGTAAAATGATGCAGTCACTATGGAAAACAGTATGGCCATTCCTCAAAGAATTAAACACAGAATTACCATATGATACAGAAATTCCACTTATGGGTTAGTAATCAAAAGAAATGAGAGCAGGAAATTGAACATATATGTATTTGTACAACTGGGTTCATAGCAGCATTATTCACAATAGTCAAAGGTGGAAACAACACAAGTGTCCATGGAAGGATGACTACACATACAATGGGATTCAATTCAGCCTTAAAAAAAGATGAAATTCTGACACAAGCTATAACATGGATGAACCTTGAGGACATTATGCTTAGGGAAATCAGTCACAGAAGAACAAAAACTGTATGATTCCACTTCTATGAGGTCCCTAGAGTAGTCAGTTTCAAAGACAGAAAGTAGATTAGAGGTTATCAGGGCTGGGGGAGGGGATTGGAAAGTCAGTATTTAATGAAGACAGAGTTTCAGTTTGGGAGGATGGAAAAGTTCCGGAGAAGATGGTGGTGACGGTCTCACAACAGTGTAAATGCATTTATTGTGTCTCTGATCTGAACACCTAAAAATAATTAAAATGGTAAGTTTCATGTTATGTTATTTTACCACAATATTTTTTTAAAGTGAGAGGAGAGTCTCTTGCACATATTCTCATGTGAAAGAACCATTCCTCCGGAAGAAACAAAACTCAGGCCTGCCGCCACCATACCTTCTCAGCATTTGCCCTTCCCCCAGCTCTCATCTCCTGATAACCAGATTCTTTGGGCGGGAGCTCCTGGAATTCTGTCAAACAGGAAGCACAGATTTGGCCCAGGACTTGCCTCCTCTCAATCCTGTCTCCAGAGCTTCTGTGAGAGGGACCCCATGAGGGTAATTTCCAGGAAGGCTGGATGTGGGTGCCCATCTTCTAGGCAACATCAGATCTGCCTCCATGTGGCAGATCAGCCACACAGGCTCAGAACGCAGGAGGAGACAGGGTACAGGGAGAAGGCTTCCACACTCCACCCAGCTCTGGGCTCCCTCCCACATCCAGCATCATGAGTGTTGTGCACCCTGGGCACTTTGCAGACCCATCTACCTGAGTTCCACCCAGGACATCAGGTCATTAATTGTGGTCTGTGTCAGAAAGGACGCTCCATCCCTGCTCTCCAGCAGCTCTGCTCAACACTGCCAAACACACGCATGGAACCAGTGGGGACAGGCACTCAGAGTGGGAACTGGTAACAAGGAGGGGCCACTGTCCTCCCGACACCCCTTCTGCTGCAGTTACCCACCTACCACTGGGTCAGAGAGCTCATTAGAGAACAAGATTCTCAGGGAACACTGCAGAAAAGCTGAAGTTCAGTTTGATGGCTGAGCAATGTCACCATTAAAGGGATTTGGTCTCACAGTGACTGTGCTCTCTGGAGCCCTCTGGTGCTGGCACTGGCCTCTAAGGAAAGGTGGCCTCCATGCCTGGCTCCAGCTTGAGCACCTGTGTGAGTAAAGTGGGCAGCAAGTCCCTACATAGCGGAGAGCAGGGTCCAGCTGAGAGCTGAGGACTGCCCGGGAGCCAAGAAGTCAAAGTGCGGTGGGGCGGGTGGGGGAGGAAGGGGAACGGGAGATGGTGTGCATGGAGAACTCCTCCGCTGACACACTCACTTGGATATTGAAATATTAAAATTCAAGTATATTCTTCAAGTTTATCCTGTCCCCCACCCCGCTACGTCCCAAATCTGGATAAAAAATTACAGTGTGCTTTATAAATTCATAGAAAATATAAACATAGCAAGTCCAAAGAGAGAGGCAGGTAGGAAGACAGAATCTTCCTCCTGTAAACAAAGATAGGTGTCAACCAAACTTTACTATGAATCAGCTCTGACAATTCTTTGGTCTGAAGATTTGTTGCTGAAGAATTTCACTCACCCACTTTGGAAAATGATGACCAGAGGCTTCATTCAAAACATTTAATACTGCCCTGGCCAGCATGGCTGTTGGTTGAGCGTCATTCCATACACCAAGAGGTCACAGGTTCAATTCCCAGTCAGGGCACTTACCCGGAAAACAGTATGCCCCAATAGGGGGCATGCAAGAGGCAGCCGATGCTCTCTCTCTCTCTCTCTCTCTCTCTCTCTCTCTCTCTCTCCCTTCCTCTGTCTAAAGTCAATAAAAACATAGTTGAAAAAAATTTAATGCCCTGTACAGCACAGTCATGACCATTCAGAACATAAATCAGCTATGGGCACTGGAATCACTGCTGGTGCACAGGGGTTGAGCAGGCTTCTTGGGGACGGAAGCAGCTCACACCTGGGATGACCAGAGCTCAGATCCTAGGACTGCAGACACTCCCTGGATGGACACAGGGCTTGGGGAGGCCACCAGCAGGTGACCAGAGGCTCTCAGGGGAAAAGAGTGCTGTTCTGATTCCTAGCCCTTCTCATACGACCTTCTTACTATGAAAGCTTTCAGGGCTTTATCTGTCCAGTGGTCTGGGGGGTATTTTTCACTCTCTGTGCAGGGAACCCAGGAGCCCTTCAGTTCCCCAGTTCACCCTTCTAACCACATGCTCCTCTGTCCCACATCCTGGGCCCCCATTAGCCAGGGAGTGACCTCTGGGCTAATGGTCAGTTTTCTCATCTATTCCCCCATAGCTATAGTTTTGTTCCACTTTCTGGAAAATACCTTCAACTTAATCTTCCAGCCCTTCTAAGATCTTTTTAAAAATTCTGTTATTTTAAAAGCTCTGTCTGTTTTTCTGGAATGTTCCTTTCTAACAGCATCCTGTTCTTGGGTGCAGTAATTCTTTATGTTAGACATTAATTATAAGGTTGCTAAGGTTCCCGAATGTGTTCCTCACCTTGCAGTGGCCCTTGGCTGTCCATTTACTCCTCAGAGATCCTAAAAACCTGTAGGAGCCCTGGCTGGTGTGGCTCAGTTGGTTGGAGTGTTATCCCATGCAGGTTCGATTCCTGGTCAGGGCACATGCCCAGGTTACAGGTTCAATCCCCAGTTGGGCTGTGTACCGGAAGCAACTGATCAATGTTTCTCTCTCAAATTGATGTGTCTCTCTCTCTCAAATCAACAAAAAACATATCCTCGAGTGAGGATTAAAAACCCATGGGAAGTTCTTGTGAACTGGGCTTACAACAAAGCTGCCAGGAACCTTGGGGAGTGTGGCGCTCATGTCTCTTGGACTGATGACTATTCAACAAAGACTGTCTGCTGCCACAGGGCCCCTACCTGAGCACTAAGGATGAGGGGCAGCCAGGGTCTCCTCACTTGGAATGGACTTACACTTGGCCTCCGCCGTGCCTGATTCTCTCAGAGGGTAGACCTCTTGTGTCCTTCCTGTGGGCCACCCAGCCATTCAGCCCCTGCCGTTATTTAAACCTATCCTCCTTGTGTTGAGTTCAGAGGGGCCTGGGGACATGGAGTGCAAGGTTCAGAGCTACAGGATCCATGCTGGCCCCTCACAGCCCAGGCTTTAGCTCTCTGCACTCAGCTGTGGCAATAGCACCTGCTTCCCAAACTGTCAGCTTCTCTCACCTGATGGCAAATTTTTAAGAATGCATTTTCTATTGTTTCATGGGGTTTCTGAAGGGAATGGCAATTCACCTGACATGAATTACTTTCTCAATTTCTATTATACAGCAGGCATTGTTCCAGGAGCTAATGGACTCATGATGCCAAGCTGCCCCGTGCCATGTTTTTCAGGGCTGCCACCACCTTGCAAATCACAGGAGACTGGGTTTTGTTCATAAATTTACCAAGAGAAGTCAAGTCTCATCACCCAGAGTGACACCTTCACCAGGTACATTTTAACTGTCATTTTCTCAGCATTTAGTACAACTGTATCCAAGCACTGACCTACTGAAATACAAATGATCTTACGACACCTTGCACCCTATCTTTCCCCTTTATATTACAGGTATATGTACATGTGCACATGTCTATTTTAGTTTTGAATATAAGTAGAATACATTATCTATGAATTTCATTCCTTTTAAGAACAGTAAAGGGGATGCTGCAAAGCAATGGTCCAGCAGGACATGCCTGGGCTCAGTATGGCACATGCTGGCGTCCTCCCCACACCATGTCCCTGCATGACTGGCCTCATGTCCCTGTGATGTCCCTCATGACCCTATTTGTCCCTGACAACAGCCAAGGCAGGGAGGAGGACAAAGCAGATCACTGGCTCCAGAAAAATGCTGACGGAGGCTGAAGTTGCAGGAACATTGTAATTACCTGTCTGCTGACTGCTGTCCTTCGAAGAGGTATTTCAAAGTACAAATTCAGAGAAAGGAGGTGGAGGAGGAAGGAGGAACAGTACAAAAATGATCATTAAAGTCTCAATTTTCTAGAAAGTCACTTTATTTTCTGACAGTCACCCTTGACCTGGTGATCAGGGGAGTTCACCAGGGCACCCCTCCTGCCCACTGAGACCCACTTCATCAGGAGCTGTAAACAGAGTTGTGGGGACACATGGGAAGAAGGCTGAGGGCTGGGTGGCACTGACAAACAGGACATCTGCTCTGTCTTCACCTGCCCTCTCCTCCAGACCGGGGACATCGGCCACCTGAGTGGGACATCCATGGCCATGTGGCCAGACTATCAAGGATCATCTGCACAATCCACTCTTCTTGGGCCAGTTAATCTGCACAGCACAGCAGCCACTCTGCTGGCTGAAGTCAAGGCACAGTGTTCCATCAGAAGTCTTGGATGGAACTCCCATTTGACCCTGTTATCCCACTTCTAGGAATATATCCCAAGAAAACAGAAACACCAATCAGAAAGGATATACGCACCCATATGTTCATAGCAGCACAATTCACCATAGCTAAGATCTGGAAACAGCCCAAGTGCCCATCAGTAGATGAATGGATTAGAAAACTGTGGTACATCTACACGATGGAATACTATGCTGCTGTAAAAAAGAAGGAACTCTTACCATTTGCAACGGCATGGATGGAGCTGGAGAGCATTATGCTAAGTGAAATAAGCCAGTCAATGAAGGAAAAATACCACATGATCTCACTCATTCATGGATAATAGAGACCATTATAAACTTTTGCACAATAATAGATACAGAGGCAGAGCTGCCTCAAACAGATGGGCAAACTGCAGCCGGAAGGCTGGGGAGGGTTGGGGGGCAGGAGGGAGGGGGGTAAGAGACCAACCGAAGGACTTGTATGCATGCATATAAGCATAACCAATGGACATAAGACACTGGGGGGTAGGGGAGGCCAGGGGATTGTCAAGGGCGGGGGGGAAAAAAGGACACATATGTAATACCCTTTGTAATACTTTAAGCAATAAAAAAAATTAAAAAAAAAAAAAAGTCTTGGGACAGAGCAGGCTGAAAGTCCCAATTTCCTCTCCCACGTCCCTTCCTTTAGAGCAGTGGTTCTCAACCTTCTGGCCCTTTAAATACAGTTCCTCATGTTGTGACCCAACCATAATATTATTTTCATTGCTACTTCATAACTGTAATGTTGCTACTGTTATGAATTGTAATGTAAATATCTGATATGCAGGATGGTCTTAGGCGACCCCTGTGAAAGGGTCGTTCGATCGCCAAAGGGGTCGCGACCCACAGGTTGAGAACCACTGCTTTAGAGGTTCACAATGCTCGCATATCTGTTAGCACTGACACAGGACAACAGACCCCCACGTAAACCTACCCTCACTAAAGCCCTAGGAAATTACAAGGTAATCAGGGAAAGGGAACACACATGAATAAGAACCAAAAATTCTCAGATGTCTGCTCAAACTGTCTGAGATCCACCCTCAGCTTTGTTTTGGGTGCATAAATCAAGACTGCTGGATGTTTTCAAGTTCAATTTTCCACTGTTCAGAGGGAGCAGGGACTGGTCAGACTGAGGACCACTATTCACAACTCGGCAGTCCTCCAGGTGAGGGCACTTCCCACAAACCTACCCAGATTCCACTTGGAGGAAATGGAGGGAGCAGGCAAGGAAGGATGCCACCTGCCCAGCCAGCATGTTCATGACCACCTGCTTTCTGTTTGAGGTTCCAGTCTTAAATGGAAGAAACTGCAACCCTAAATGTGTAATCATCAAGCTATTTTCCAACATAATTAAAAGCCACAGGAAGGCCCGGCCAGTGTGGCTCAATGGTTGAGCATTGACCTATGAACCAGGAGGTCACAGTTCGATTCCCAGTCAGGGCACATGCCCGGTTGCGGGTTTGATCCCCAGTAAAGGGCATGCAGGAGGCAGCTGATCAATGATACTTTCTCATCCTTGATGTCTCTCTCTCTCTCTTCCTCTCCCTTCCTCTCTGAAATAAAAATATTTAAAAAGAATGAAACAGAAGCCTTGGCTAGTGTTTCTCAGTGGTTAGAGCATCAGCCTGGGAACCAAAGGGTCGTGGTTTTGATTCCCAGTCAAGGGCACGTACCTGGGTTGCGGGTTCGTTCCCTAGCCCGGTCAGGGTGCATACAGTAGGTAACCAATTGGTATACCTCACATTGATCTCTCTCTCTCTCCCTCCCCCACGCCCTTCCGCTCTCTCTCAAAGGAAAAAATATTCTCGGGTGAGGATTAACAAAGAAAAAAAAAAGAATGAAACAGAAAATGCTAACCAATGTCTTACTTTGCAGTGTTTAAACAGAGGACCAGAAACTAGAATGCTGGCTAGTGTCCGAGGGAAAGAAAACCATTCCCAGCAGGTTCTCCCTATTGTGGCAGCTCCATGATAGAACTAGAAGCATCCCTGGGCAGTGTGGACCATGAATGTCAAGCCCTCACACCAAGTCAGGTGACTCAGCCGAACACAGGTCACCTAGTGACTTCAGGGAAGGCTCCAGTGCAGCACAGCCCCCCCACACTGGCAGGAGATGCTGAGGTGTCAAAAGCCGAGGCTGTTGGCTTTCTACACAATTCCCAGATCTCACTTCCTGGGAAGCACAGCCCCCCCCCCCACCCCCCCCAGCCAGGATGTCTGAATGAGGCACATGCCTGTGTTTCAACATGATATCCAACTCGTAGCATGAGGATTCCACCCCCAACCCAAGACAGGCAGCTGCTGTTTCTTAGTGTTATTCCTTAGGGAGGGAAAATAAGTTCCCAAAGGCAGACAAATGGCAAACAGGAATGTCAGGTCTTCTAGGAACCAGAAAAGCTTTCCATAACACAAAACGGGGAGGGCCCTGGGATTCACACACCAGCCATCCAGGCAGGTCCAGGCATGCATGTACCTGAGACACTTGACCAGCCTTCACTCTTACTCTCTCAAGGGTAAGGTACATGTCTATACCAAGGAAATGCACCTTGTACCACAGAGTGGGGACAGAAAAGGGAATCCCACATGTCCCAGTGGGCATGCAACTGGGTGCAGCCCAAGGAGGCAACACTAAGCAGTGTGGCAGGCACTCAGGTGGACCAAGGATCCCACCTCCTGGCATTCATGCTTCTGGGGACACCCCTCCCCTTGAGGGTGGTGGGAGCTGATACTTGCTTCTGACCCTGAGTAGGGCCAAGTAATGGATGTCCCCTCTGATCATATTACATGAGACTCCTGCAGGCAGATTCTCTCCCTTGCTGGCTCTATGAACAAGCTGCGCTATGGAGGGGCCCATGTGGCCAGGAACAGAGGATGGCCAGATGCTGATAACAACCACATGAGTTTAGAAAGGATTCTGCCCCAGCCCACACCTGACTACAGCTTGTGAGAAACCCCAAGGCCCTGTGAAGACCCAGCTAAACTGTGCCCAGATTTCTGACCCCCAAAAACCTATGTGCTAATAAGTGGGTGCTGTTTTTTGTTTTGTGTTTGTTTGTTAATCCTCATCCAAAGGTATTTTTCCACTGACTTTTAGAGAGTGAAAGGTAAGGGGAGAGAAAGAGAAAGAGACACATCAATTGGTTGCCTCTCACAAGTGACCTGAGCAGGGCCAGGGATCAAGCCTATAACCGAGGTACATGCCCTTGACCAGAATCAAACCCAGGACCCTTCAGTCTGTTCTATCCACTGAACCAAATAGGTTAGGGCTGGGTGCTCTTTTAAGATGCTCAGTTTGTGGTAATGTCTTGGGATGCTATAACAGAATATTACAGATTGGGGAGCTTATAAACAACAGAAATGTATTTCTCACAGTTCTGGAGATGGGATGTCCAAGATCAAGGTTCCAGCAAAGTTGGTGTCTAGTGAGAGCCCACTTCCTTGTTCACAGACAGCTGACCTCTTGCTGTGTCCTCACAAGGCAGAAGGGGCAAGGGAACTCTGTGGAGTCTTTTATAAGGCACTATGCAACTCATGAGGTTCCACCCTCAAGACCTAGTCACTTTCCTAAGGCCCTACCTCCTAATACCACTGGGGATTAGGTTTCTACATAGGAAGTTTAGGGGGTGGGGAGACACATTCAGTCCACAGCAATAACTAATACCAATTATTGAAAACATACACTCCTCTGACCAGGCACTGTAGCTCTAAGAATCTATCAAAACAACAAGAGAACTTTTTATAAAGGTGTGGTAACAGAGTAGTGGCCCAGAGATGCCCACATCCTAATTCCTGGAGCCTGAGAACATGCTTCCTACAGGGCCAAGGGACTTTGCAGATGTGACGGGGGTCATGGGCCTTGAGAAGCAAGAGGACTCTGAGTTATCCTGGTGGGCCCAATGTCATTACTTGAGTCCTTAAAGGTGAGGACCCTTTCCTGGATGAGTCAGGGAGATGAGATGGAAGGAGGAGAGAGAAAGGAGAGACTCAAAGACTAGGAGGGACCTTAACCTCACTTAGAAGACGGAGGAAGGGGAACACAAGTGAAGAATGTGGGCAATCTATAGAAGCTGGCATGACCCTCAGTGTACAGCTACCAAAGAAAAGGGACCTTGGTCCTATAATGCAAAGAACTGAATTCTGCCAACAACTCAATGAGCAAGGAAAGAGACCTCCCTTAGAACCTGCAGAAAGCAACACAGTCCAACACCTTAACTGTTGACTTATGACCTACATGCAGAACTCTAAGATAATGTTACAGCAGTAACAAAAAAGAAATATCCAGGTATAAACATAATTAAAGGCTATATACTATTTACATTTTTTATTACAAATAAACTGGATACAAATTTTAAAAAATCTATCTACTGTGGATGATTAAATAACAGAAGATGACCCACAAAATGGAGGTTATATGGCTGTTATAAAGAAACAGGCATCTGCCCTAGCTGGTTTGGCTCAGTGGATAGAGCGTCAGCCTGCGGACTGAAGCGTCCCAGGTTAGATTCTGGTCAAGGGCACATGCCTAAGTTGTGGGCTTGATCCCCAGTAGGGGATGTGCAGGAGGCAGCCAATCAATGATTCTCTCTCATCATTGATGTTTCTATCTCTCTTTCCCTCTCCCTTCCTCTCTGAAATCAATAAAGATATATTTTTAAAAAAATGTTTAAAAAAAGAAAAGAAAAACAGGCATCTGCTGAAATGAAAGCAGAATGTGAAGCAAACGGAAATTTTAAACCCTCCTGATGGGATAGAAATTGCTCAACTGCTTTGGAAAACTGTTTGGTGATATTTACTAAGGCTGAATATATGCATACCCAACAACCCAGAAACCCTACTCCACAGTATCCCTGACAGAAATGCATGCATATGTGCACCAAAAACATGCACAGGCAGACTTCGTTTTATTGCTCTACACAAGTGTGCATTTTTTACAAATTGAAGGCAAGACCCTCCACCAGCAAAAAGATTACAACTCGCTTTACTGAGGTGATCTGAAACCAAACCCG